GTATGGGCTTCCGCCGATTTTGGATGTTAGTGCGGTCTAACATTATTCGGGTTTCGAGTCTACGAGTGTCGCGTCTTTTTGGGGTTTAGGGTTTAGGGGTTTAGGGGTTTAGGGTTTAGGGTTTTAGGTTTTTTTTTAGGGTTTTAGGGTTTAGGGTTTAGGGTTTAGGGGTTTAGGGTTTAGGGTTTAGGGTTTACGTAGGGTTTAGGGTTTTAGGGTTTTGGGGTTTTTGTTTTTTTTGGGATTCTGCGGGGTTCCTTTATTATATTTATTGTATCATGGTCATGGGCCCCCAAAGACCCTATTCTGCTTATTAAGGCCCCTTGATTACGGATTTTCCCGCCCTCCTCCAGGTTTCATGAGGGCGCTATAAGACTTCTAAACAAAGGGGGCACCAAAACCCTGAACCCTGAAGGGGTCCCGAAACCCCCAAACCTTACACCCTAAATCCTCGCAGTAGTGTTCCAGGGAATGTGCCACTCAGGGATGCTTGGAGGTTCATGGGTATTTTTAATGGGATCATAAGTAGGCTATATAACTATACTTATATAACCCATATTAGGGGACTTATATCCATACTTATAACTACCCATGAACCTCCAAGTAAGGACTCATGCCTCGAAAACTTGAGCGTATAGACGATTCAGGAAAACTAAATAGAGGACCCCCGTAAACCCTAAACCCTAAACCCTAACAACAATGCACAGTGACACGGAATCCAAAGCTCGGAACCACCCCCTTGTAGTTAAAGGGCCAGGGACGCAACTGGTAAAAGTCCCTACTTGGAGGTTCATGGGTAGTTATAAGTATGGTTATAAGTCTCCTAATATGGGTTATAACTATATAGTTACCTTACTTACAACCCTACTTATAGCTACCCATTAACCTCCAAGTACCCCCAAAGCCCTAAACCCGTAAAGACCTAAACCCGAAATTGTGGTAGGGCGGCTCGCCTTAGCTAGCCCAGACTTCCCAAGCAAGTAGGCTCCACCTTACCAAGGCCCGCGCTCCTCTTGACAACCAACGAGTAGCAACTAACCGTTTAGGGGCTTTAGGTAGGGCTTTTAGGGTTTAGGGTTTTAGAGTTTTTCCGCGGGTTTAGGGATTAAGCGGCGGCAAGAGCATGCAACCCACAACGAACTCTTGTTGAAAGCCTGAATGCACTAAACACACAAACAGCTAGAGCATCAAAACGTTGAGCCCCAAGTGTGCTTGTTCAGGATATATATGACCCATATATGTCCTAACTCATCCTTTGGTAGGTGTTGTAGCTCACCAGAACAAGAACGCAACTCAAAACAACCTTTGTCCACCCCCCTCCCATCAGGCCGGCAGGAAGGCGGAACCCCAAACTGATTCTTATCCGGAACCTTCACGAATGCTGAAAAACCCTTTGTGAACTCAACAAGCGCCTGTAAGAACCTTTCAAGAACACCTATAAAAGCCTCCAAAAAACCTACAACACCCCTAAACCCTAGACTTTTGAATAACCCGGTAGGGGACCTTTGGCTGCATCCCTTATAACAGCACCTTTCATGAACCGTGGAAGAAACTCTTCTAGACGAATCCCCTTAAAAAGGAGGGCTTTCAAACGGAAGCCCTCAATACAAAACCATCCCTTAAAGGACCCCCCCCAAAATATCATTAAATTCCCTAAGCCCTGAAACCCCTAAATTCCCGAAACCCTGAAACCCGAAATTCCCTAAACCCTGAAACCCTAAACCNNCCCCCCCCCCCCCCCCCCCCTCGCCCTACCTTCTCCAGGGTTAGAGTTCGCAGCCGGAGCTGCTCGGCACCCTGACGCCTTCAGGATCCGTTGCTTTTTGAAGCCCGAAATCTTCAGGGGCCCTGGAGCGTCTAGGGTTTAGGGGCCCTTGAGGGTGTAGAGTTCGAGGGTCTACCTGTAGCCGAAAAGACC